CAGCAGCAGAGACCTGAGCCCACAGCTTTTTTTGGATGATAAACATTTGTATCAGATCAACAAAACATGGGTATTAGTATTAGTAACAACATTTTTACACAACATTTATCCATTTTAAATATACTAACATCACTCCTTTGTAACAACTAAGGCAAAAATGTAATTAATTCAGAAAATCTTGTCAGGACCCCACCTTGATGTTTCAGGACCCCACTTTGGGTCCCGACCCCAACTTTGGGAAACACTATCCTAAAGTGGTAATTTGTAGGGAACTACTTTTCAAAAGTTAGTAATTTAATAGTAAATAAAATGGCACTGGACGTGGTGTTTATTTTTTTCAAACTGTTTTATAAATTAAGATGTAAATGCTGCTCATTCTTTCTTGAGGTCTAGTTTCAGAGAACAGATAAATTAACTGGTCCCTCCCAGTCAGCACCATTGAGTCAAATATTTCGCGCGAAAATGATTGGAAGCGATCACGAGAGTTTTGACGTAATGGGAAAAATAGGTGGCCTTTAAAAGAACTCGTATTTTATTGGACAAAATGATCAGACGCTTCGAACCAAACCGTGATTTGATTGGTCAGTTGGAAAAGAGGCTCATTCCTTCCGGAGTCCCGCCCACCTCCACCGTAGCTCTCCGCTGGCTTTCGTGCTTCAAGCGGCCGTCACCGAGGCTGGGCTGCGGCCGGAGAGACCCGGACATAGAAGAGTTACAATCGACCGTTTAGCCCAAACGTAGCATCGCAACGGGGCTGAGGGGCTGCCCCGGCGATTTTTTTTACACCTACAACAGCTTCTTGTCCCCACGCCTCTCCGTGTCGCCGCCACCCGTCCTCCTGATGTCGGATTTTAAGCTCGGGATTGTGCGGCTCGGCCGTGTGGCCGGGAAGGTGAGCTGGATCCAAGGCAAGGGGCTGCCATGTGCGGCCGGGGGTGGGCCCGCGGGGACAGCAAAAAGCACTCGAACGAAGCACGTTTAACTATTATTTCTCGACGCCCGTCCGCTGCGGTCGTGATGAAGTAGCGGCTGAAGCGGCGGGAAGTGGGTTAGTTTGAGCGGATTAGAAAAGCCGGCCGCGTCGAGCCAGATCCAGACTGCTCTCAGCTCCGCCGCTAATCACACTCTTCAGTCTAGCTAGCACCGGATAGCATGTATGCTAGCTGTTAACGCCAACGGTTACACTGAGACACAAATGTGAACAGTAATTATTATATATTTGCGCTTCTGTCGCTGTCGACGCTGCTGTAACTTGTGTGCTAACTGTTTTTAATGTTTTGACGCCGAGTGAATGCGGTTTAATTTAGCGGCGGTGCTGTTAGCATCAGCGCGTTAGCCGCGGTGTTTGCATTGCACCGGAGCCAGTGACACCTAATGAGGAAATCATTTATCAACTTTTAGTGCAACGTAGAAAATACCATCTTTATAATAGTTTAGAGAACACCTACATGCTTGTCACAGACGTGACATAAACTGAAAGCTGTGACACTTATAGTGTCACGAGGCAGCAAGGGAGTAAAGTGCTGTGACCAGTCGTGCATCCCCCGACCTGCTGGGTTATAGTTCAGATGACGGCAGAAACAGCAGATATGCTTCATGTTGTCCCCGCAGTGCTTAGACTCGACCTGTCAGTGCGTGCGGCACGTTTGGACCACTTCGTGTTGTCAAACACACTCACAGTGGGTGTCACGCGCATGGTGGCTGGGTGTTTTGCCACGTGTAAGAGGTCAGGTAGCTTTGATCTGGTTGAAGCAGTCCTGTTTGCTCGTTGCATGATCTGACCTGCAACAAAAAAGACTTCAAGCTTCCAGGTGCATTGTTGTTTTCCCAAACAGGAGTTTGTACTCACCTGGAACTTGTTGCCACTTTAATGTGGTGGTCTCTGCAAACATCATAAGCTTCGAATAAGGTCACGTGGTGCAGCAAATAATATTTGGATGTGGATATTGGGTATTGGGATAAAGGTGTACACTGCAAAATTTGTTTTTAAAACCTTATATCCAGCCAAAAAGCCTTTTTGGTCTTGTTTTGAGACTGATTTACTAAACAAGAACTGACTGTGTAAGAATAATAATCTTGTTTTCAGAATGTGTGAGATTATTTGTCTTGTTAGTCTGAAAATTTGACTCAAATTAAGTCAAAACTTTCTGCCAGTGGAGTAAGAAAATTTTACTTGGTAAGATTCTTGAAATAAGTAAAAAAAAAACAAGTCAAATCAAGTATTT